ACCACCTTCAGATTTATAAGCCCTAAAGAACTCTAGCCTAATGGTAAGGAGTCATGCTGTTTAGAATCAACTATTCCTTAGCAAAGCCTAGACATTCGCTTAAAGTCACCCTTTGAATTATAATGTCTAAGGAACTCTAGGCTAGCAGTAAGGAGTTGCGCTGCCAACTCAAAGACACACATTTCAAATCTATCAGCTATTCTACAGGGGAATGATGGGCAATCTCCTCCCATGTGATTTACTAACTCTAAAAACCCACTGGAGGGTAAGCACTGAGTTGATTCTAATTCAACAACATAGACAAACAAGGACCTCTGGTAGCACAGTAGACCATATGTGGCAATCCTAATTAAAAGGCTGTATGTTTCTGGAGGCTCATATCCACTAAAATCTAAGGGAGAAAGATGAACAGTCAACCCGTTAAGATTAATATTCATGGAAACTCAATGGAAAGTAACTATGAATTGAAATAGACTCAAAACCAGGGAGTTTCTTTTTTTTTTTTCCTTTTTGATAGAATAGCTCTCTTTTTTTTTCCTAAAGGAATTTAAAACTCTGAATAACATATTAAAATGATGAGAAGGAACAGCAATGTCATGGTCTGTTTCTTAGGAGGAATACATTTCCTGTATCTGAAATGTATGACACTTGCCTTGAGAAATGATACATTTCTTGATTATTTCCAATCTCTAAAACAGTACAATAAGCATAGTACCGCTGGTGGAAATTGCTACTGGTATGTGACCCGCATTTTTTTGTTACAGAAAATTATACTGATTCAAAGATACACAGGCACAACTACACTGAATTTACTATTTTAAAAAAGAAAGCTGTACAATGATACAGCTAGGGATGATAGAAGGAGAATTGATGCCCTTGAGCTGTGGTGCTGGAGAAGAGTACTGAGTATGCCACTGACTGCTGGGAGAACAAGTTCCCTGGAGAGCGTGAAGCCAGACTGCTCCTTGGAGGCAAGAATTCTGAAGCTCCGTCTGACATAGTTTGGACATGTTGCAAAGCGGAATCTCCTTGGAGAGGGACGTCATGCTTGAAAGGGTGGAAGGACAGAGCAAGACAGTAAGATCCTCAATGAGATGGACTGATTCAGTGAATGAGATTATGGGTGTAGGTGTATCAGAGACAATAAGATTGTCACAGGATAGAACAGGGTTTAGGGCTGTTGCACACAGGGTTGCTATGAGTCTAAGGCAACTCAACAACACATAACAACAACTACATACTACCAATCTACATTCTTACCCAAAATGTCTTAATTGTAGTTGTTTCTACCATTTTCAAATAATACAATTTATTTTATTAATTATAAAAATTAGTAGCTGTATTTTATTGTGCTTTATTCTGCACTTTTTTGATTACTTTTTTGATTCCGTTATAGTTAACACTATAAATTCACTGATCAATTTAATACTCTCTGAGAGAATGTCTCTCATATATTTTTACATTGAGTTGTCTTGTTTTTCTTATTGATTTGTAGGACCCTTTGTAGATTCTGCATATGAGAACTTTATGAATAAATTAATAAACTATGAATTACAATTTTTTAAAAAGTAGTTTGTTGGTAGTATGTAGGGGAAAAAAATCTATTTATTTAGCTAGTATAAAGGTACAGTAGTAAATTACTTGACTACTAGAGAATTCTAGTTGCCTAGCTGCAAGCAGCAACCCTGAAGATTTGTGGTTCAAATCCAGCAGCTGATCTGAGGGAGAATGATGGTTAATCTCCTCCTATGACATTAACTGCCTCTGAAAATCTGCTAGAGGGTCAGATATGGGTCAGTTCTGACTATGATAGACAAGAAAACTAGCTAAAAGGTCGTCCATTCAAATCTTTCGGCTGTTATGAAAGAAAAACTTGAGGTAGTCTTGATGTTGAGAAGTAATCCATATTGAAGGATACAGTCCTTGAACAAGTATAGGAAAGGATATCCCTGACACTCACTCTTCCTGATTTAAACCATGCAGTTTTCCTTGCCTTGTTGAGACAACAGCTTCTTGATCTAGGCATAGATTTCACATGAATACAAATTAAAATATTCTGGGATTCCCATTGTTCTCAATGTTAGCCATAGTTTTTGGTACTTCACAAAGTCAAATGCCTTTGCATAGACAATAAAGCACAGAGATTCTTCTACTATTCTCTGCTTTCAGCGAGGATCCATTTCACACCCATCTGACCTACTTTGATATAATACTTAAAACCAAACTGAACTGTATTTGTCAGCAGTTAAGACTCTTACTCTTTTGGGTTTGGGTTTTTAAGAAATTTGTATTCAAGCTTTGTTAAGATATGTCTAGAGTAGCCTTTATATTATGGGATAGTTCAGACCCATGACTAAAGCATGCACCTTTGAGGGTGTTCCCCTGAATGTCCACAATGGTCCTTAAACAGTCTGTACTCAGGACAAAAGGAAACTCAATGCCTCTAGCCTAGTTTGAACTCTGGGAATCAATCAGGTGATAGTTCTTTACTTACTCTTTGTCCAATCTTACTTAGTTTCAGGCCACACATACAAATTTTACAATTGAGTAAATATTGAATGAACACCCCACTGCACTTTCTGGAGCTGTTTTTCTGCATGGCTTTCTCCTCTCAAGAATTGTCCTACACTTTGTAAATTAGTTTTGCCTCTTTAAACTTTGAACTTTATCTCCAAAACTGAACAAGACTTTTAAGCTCACTCTCGGACACCCTTCCTTGCCCTGTGGCTGGACTGTATTTCCAGCAGAATATGAGCCTAATGCTAGGAATTATAGCATTTGTTTCCTTTCTACTAGGGATCATAGCCTGTGATGCTATTGTTCAAATCATTGGTTTTGGTTTTATTTTTCATATACTTTATCCAAAATTAGTTCTTTATGGCCAATATAAAAATTCAGTCCCACTTAATCAAAAACAAAGCTAAAGTTCTAGATTTTTTAAATTGTGGCATCATCTACTAAATTGTCTACCATTAATTATCACATCTTCGTCAGCTGAGTCGGTTTCCCAGTTCACCAGCTCTTAACCATGTTTAAGGAGTTTAAATTAAAAAGCCTTTAATAGGGACACTAACTTTTTGTTCTACCTGTGGGATAATCTGGAGATGAATCTGGATGATGGCTATACAGTATGTTGAATATAATCAGTGTTGTGGAATTACACATGCATGAAAATGCTGAGTGAGAAAAATCCCCTGTTACATAATTTTAGCACAGTATTTCTCTATTATCTCAGCACTGCATTTATGTTGCTTTAGGATTATGAAATTAGAGCATGTGAAACAAAAATGGCTTGCATTTTTCAGAGATAACATTTATGGAGAACACTACTTTTTAAATGTTTGTTTCTAGTACATACATTTAAGAGTTCCAAATTACAATTCGTAACATTTCCAAAAACATAGGGTGAACAGATGTCAATTGGATTTTAGAAGTTGCCTTATTTTGAAAGGTATACAGATTCTCGACAAGATGATTTAAAATTCTGCAATAGTATATTAGCTTCATGTGGAGCACGCTTTATCCTCTCTTGGACTGTCCTGCGTGCCTATATCACTGAAACAGTACGGTTCAGCTGTCAGCACTTCCTCAACCATCAAGCACATGCTCTTCACTGCAGCCAACTACTTAACACTGGTTAACTGAGACTTGAAGAAGAATAGGCCTGATTACTGTGGACTAATTAAAAAGCAAATCATGGCCAGAGCAAGTAAAGCAGGCTTTGGTCTTAAAGTGTCAAAAATACCACATGACTTACTGGGACTGGACCTAACAGCAGTAGTGGACCACAGGTTGAAAATATGAAAAATTATTTTGGGCATAAAATTTACATTTTCCTACTGTAACACAGAAATAAGATCTCAAAAGCATTGTTATCTTTACCATCTAAAACCAATCTCTGTGTCATTGTATCAATTCCAATTTATAGAGACCACTGGCATTGTTTCTTATTGTATAAATTCTTACCAGGGAAGGTGGTCAGAAGGAGGAGGGTACACTGTTAATCTTTCTTCTGAGCAGTTTGTGAATTAGATTCATAAACTTTTTAGTTAACAGCCTGACATGTTACCATGCTATCCACTATACCGTGAGTCCCTTTATCTTACCATTGTAATTACATTTTAAAATATAGGAGTTAATCACACTACGATTTAGGCATAAAATTGAAAGCACTTGAACTTTTTTCCATGTTTAAGAAGGTTCAAGATGAGTGTATTTTAAACTGTGCTTTGAGTGAAAGTTTATAAAGCAAATGGGTTTATCACTCCACCACTCATATACATTTAGCCATAACACTAACTACAATAGTCCTAACATAATGGCATTCTTCCCACTTCCTCCCTGTGATTCTCATTTTCATTGATCATTTTATCCTTCCCTTTACTGATTCTGAGCTTCTCTCCGGGCAAATCTGTCATTCTGATCTTACTCCGTTGACCGTTATAAGGAATTAAGTGCCTCCTTGGTGGCATTACCACCGTTTATATAGCACAGGAATTCTTTTTCAAAATTGTGTTTTATGCCCTCATTTATATACCTTGTGTTTTAGATAATCACTATCTTCCTTTCCCGTCTCCTTAAGCCTCCCCTTCTTCTCACCCCCTTGGCCTTTTAAACAATAATATACATCTTTTGCCTATTTGCTAATTTTATTAGTCATACTGTCCTTTGAAAGTTCTGTCCAGATTTAATCCTCCCTCTTCCTGATCCTTTACAGTGTTGATTGTACTTTCTATTTCTGCTCTCCTGATCCATCCATCCTAGTTACCCATCTAGTATGACAACAGCATCTTTATGCCGTATTTGTCTTTGGTTATACTCTGTGAGAATTATTCTTTGACACTACAGCAAGACTAAGCTACTATTATAGGAACCAAAAGTCTTTTTTCTCATCTGTTAGTCTAATACTCACTGTCAGCATCCATGAAATGGTGGCAGACTAACGTGTTCACTTAGAGACAGGGTACATTTTCAAATGCTTTCCAGTTCTGAAAACATACCTGTTACTGTTTTTGTCTTTAGTGGGCTGCTAGCATATTCAGAGGCCTGATATGAATGCTGCTTTGCCAATGGAGCACTTCCAACGGATAGCTCATCCTCTTTCCGTCTGTTAAATGGCATAACTAGAGGAACAGTGACCACAGGCTGCTAGAAAGAACAGAAAGAAGTAAAAGGAAAAGATGGATGGTAACTTTTGTTCACTAGGTAACTTTGTATCTTGCACAAACTGAAGGTGAGACTTCATTATTTTTACATCAACCAATCATATATTACCTTCTCTCTCATATACACTTAAAATTTAAATTACAAATCAAGCACATTTACAAGTACTGTTGTCATCATTGTAAGGTGCTGTAAAGTCACGCATGTTTCATTGTGACTGTATAAACAAGATCTGAATCCTGTGCCAACCTTAAAATCACTGGCACAATCAAGCCCATTGCTGCAGTCACTATGTCAATCCACCTGTTTGAGGGTTTTCCACTATTTTGTGTAAATCTTAGATACAAACAATCCAGAAACAGCAAAAGAAAATTAACATTTTAAATTATTATTTGCAGAAAACAAAAAATTATCTATATAAAAAAATTTTTAAAAGAACACAAGAGGGATATACTTTTTGAAGTTATTTACAGGTCAAGCTAAACCATCTGGTATTTTTTAATTGCCAAAGCAACAAAAAAATATCTAGAGTAAGAGAAAGCTGGAAAATAGTATCATCTCATACTGAATGCATGAGTACTGAGCTGGACAATAAAGTGGCTGTTTCATCTTTATCCACCCAAATAGAATCTGATGTCACTGCTGATGACGCCCAAGACAGTCTTATCAGATTTGGGGGAAGGAAAAAAAAAGTATTTTTGAGTTTGCTACTGGATCAAAGATCAGTGTGGAACTGGGAGGAAAACAAACATCAAAATGTTGGGTTTTAGCCACAAACACAGAAGGAAATTATAACTTGAGGAACAGCTGCAGTGTAATGTAATGTTACCTTCAAGGTCATACAATCACTATTATGCAGATACAAATTTACACTCCAATCATTTCATAAGACTAAAGTTATTTCAATAACGAATAAGCTAATATACATGTATGACCCTGTAATATCGATAAATTATTTTTTGCATTAGTTAGTTATACTGAATGAAAGGAAGATAAAGCTGAAATGGTGAGTAAAAAGGAGTAAATATTTTCTGGAAATATCACAACACAGAGAAACAGATATCATGCTTAATAAATAGTCAAAATGAAAACTCTTGTAAACAGTTTACTGATCTTCAAAACTAAACATTGGTTTGTAACACAAATACAGTGAAATACACTATTAGATTCTTAAGAGAACCTATTTCAATAATTTTCATATACACTACAAAAATACATAAAAAAAACTATGTATGCAGACAACCGTTTGCTATTCATATATTTGTCTTTATTTATGGACTTTATATTTGACAATAAATAATTACTACTGTTACTAATCTTTTCAAGTTGATGTAAACATTAAATATTGCTAATAATAATGATGGGCCCAGTAACTGTATTTGCTATTTCCTGTTATTTTTATATCAATTGGTAATAATTTAGACATACTCTCAAATATCTCTAAAATTCAACTATTATCAAAAATTGTTTCTTGTTCTCTTGATGACCATGTCAGTGAGGTAGACTACTTTTACTAATCTTCAAAATGGCTGTCTGTATTGAAAGATAATTAGGAGGTTTAGGTTTCCTATTAGATTCCTCTGGTATTCCCTGCTTTCAGCCAAGATCCATCTAACATCAGCTACAATATCTCTAGTACCACGACCCCTTC